ATGTATTTTGAAAAAAAAGGGAAATCAAACAAGGTTTAAAATTTAAATATGACAATTATTTTCTCCAAATTAAACATATATAATTTTGTTGTAAAAAATAACAATATTCACTAAATGATATTGTGGCCAATTTTTGTATAATTCAAAGGAAGAGCATGGGTTCAAATTCTTACAATTGCATTAAAACCGCTGAAATGTAATATATATTATTCTGGTAAACTTATTACCAAATTTCATGAGTGCCACAATGGTCAAGTGTTCAATATCTTATCCGGAGGTTAGGGGTTTAAATCCTCTCCCTTATTTCATTTGGTTTTGGCAAGAATTGTAGAATTTAAAATATTTCACAATAAAATTGTTAGGAAATGAATTCAAAACAGGGACCTCTCATGTAAAAATAAAGGTTCTTGCCAGTTAAGCTACAAGAAATGTATGAAAAAAGGAACTTACCAGGTATATAATGTCAATTGTTTATTCATTGAAAAAAAAAACTATCTCGGAGAATCCAGCATGGGCGGCCACCGGGGCTCGTCGGGTGCTGGGTCCGCCCCTTGGCCGAAAGGGGACAGTCAATTGCTCATGATTATATTTTCAGTGTGTATAACCCATCGCCTCAACACAAAAAGAGAATAAACTGCTGAATCAACAGTGCTCTGTAGATTTTAATTTCATGTACTATGTGAGCCTAGTGCACGGAGAAGATTGATGTTTTTGTCCTCCATGATATTAAGCCATGGAGTTCCATCTTACAACGTTAATTTTATTAAGAAGAATAGTCCAAACCCTTTCATATTGATCTATATTTCGGTATTGAACTGTTGTTGGATTTATCAATTAACATGTCTCGTAAAATTGCTCATTTGTATAAACCAATCTTGAAATTCATGTATTCATTTTTTTTTTATTCTTAATCGAATCGAATTACTTGTTTGAGTTTACACTACACCAAAAAACAGCTTTTGCATGGGCCAAAAAACCTTGCAAAAGACCTTTTGCAGCGTTTTAGCGTGTGTTGCGGGGGCAGTGTTGCCGTTGAGGGAAGAGATGCGACAACTTTTATTCGACGTTGCGAAAAGTTCTTTTGCAACTTTTTTTAAACGTTGCAAACGAAACATTTTGCAACATTTTTTCACTGTTGCCATAGACCTTTTTGCAACATTTTTTCAACGTTACGGTAGATCTTTTTGCAACTTTTTTTCACCGTTGCCGTAGATCTTTTTGCAACGTTTTTCCAACGTTGTAGTAGACCTTTTTGCAACGTTTTTTCAACGTTGCCATAGACTTTTTGACTTTTTTTACAGTTATATATGGTAATTGACAGACAAAATTGAAAATGACACTTTGTAAACAAATTTTGGAATTGCATAAAAATTGATAATTTCGTTACAAATTTTTGAATCAATACAACATTAAAATGTGATACAATACAACATTGATTCACTACAACATTTGAATTTCCTGAGCATAGCTGAAATATATTTTTGAATCAATACAACATTAGCTGAAATATATTTTTGCAGTAGCTATCTCATTGATAAACATTAGCTGCAGACAAAAACTTCATGGTTAGATACATTTACCAAATCATAAAGCACAATTCAACGGCACCCATTCACCCAAGTGGTGCCTTACAAGTAAAAGATGGTCTAAGAAACTTTATCTTCAATTTTCTTTTATTTATTTGTTTTGGGATAATGAAATATGGTTTAAAGTTATGACAATTTTATATGAATTTCATAAAATTATAAGTATTGCTACTTACACTATACTCAAAAGATATATGTTTTTGCTTGAAATAAATATCAAAAGTGATTCTAGAATACAGGTATACACAATTTTCTTCAGATGATTGCCCAGAAGGATATTGCAAAAACAATAAGACGAATGCATTTCATATGAAACCCAGGAGATAGTGACCAAGATGAGTAGAGTTAGCGCATGTTTAATATGCATAATTATAGGGGGAGAGAACAGTGGACAGTTCTATGGAAAAAAATTTGGCCTTTTTCCCTTGGCATAGCAGAAGACGTGAAAATTAAGGCTTAAACCATCTATGCTGCTATTACCAAGGAAAAGGAAGTTTTTGGAGACGTACTCTCCTCAATGTAAACTGGCCTTCCAACCAATTGAACACGAGACGACTAGAAAAGAAAAAACAAAATAAAACAACAAATAGTTACTAGATATTGACGATTAAAAAGATCATTTGTAACATCTCAACAATAATTTACTACTAGAAGAAAAATAGGAGACGCCTAGAAAAGACGCAAACAAAATAAAATAACAAATAATTACAGGATATTGATGATTGAGAAGATCACCTGTAACACCCCAACAATAATTTTACAACTAAAAGAAAAGTTGAACGGGAATACTATGCTCAATTTTGCTTAAAGAAAGACTGTGGTCCTAGATCTGAATTGGACGTTTGAGAAACTACAGGTAGCAAATAGCGCATGAATTTAGCAAGCGAGGAAAGTGGCCTGCTTAACTTCCTAAGCAACAGGATGTGTAATGAGCACACGATGGAAGATATCTATATGCCAACAAATTTAAATAACGAGAGGGAAGGATGCACCAAACAAACTATTTGGCTGTGATTGACCCAAAGAAAGGGTGAAGAAATTGAAAGCAGTGGGAACAAAAAAGTAAATTTATAGTAAATAAAATATTAAATGAAACAGCTCCCATCTTGATCAAAAGACAACACATCATTGACTGATAAGAGTTCAAACCTTGATAGCATTCCGAGAACTCTGCACATCTTCAAACTCAATGAATGCATAGCAAACAACAGTATCCTGTCCATCAATTGAAAAATCAGAGATCCCACATTTTACACCTTTTGTAAAAGACGGTGGAAAGGAAATGGACCTGTCGATTTTTTAAGAAGAATCCATCGTGTTTGATTTTCCCAAAGTTTTTGAACTCTTGAAGAATAGCTAGACTAGTAACACTAGAAGGCAGATTCTTCACATAGACAGATCTAGATTCGCCCTACCGAAAAGTAGTTGCTTTGATCAAGCTGACATGATTTAATTAGAAGAACAAGTAGTTTGCAGTATGTAAAAAGGCCAATGGCAACAAATTATACTAACAGCTCATCCATTAATGGGCATTCGCTTCGTGTACCAATACCTAGGATAAAAAAAATGGATATTTGTTCAAAGTTAATATCTTCTTAGACTAAGCTCTTCATTTACATGTTGATATCAGAGGCTTCATAAAGAACCAAACTTTCTTCTAAATTTCATATATTTCTATATCAGAAATTAAGAATCCATGAAATTCCCGGCTTTTGAAAATGTAAATTCCCAAGTATTACAAGAGATTATCCTCTTTACAAGAAAAATCTTTTGAAATTAATGGGTTTCCTAACATAATTTCAATTTTTTAATACCTAAAATGAAGTGTAACTTCTAATAAAAACGTTTGAATGAGAAAATATGGCAACTTTAATAACAAACTAATTATATGTAGACATGTTAAGACTTTAGTCAAACTTAAATCGATAGAACCTTGATATACAACGACTTGAGTTAAAGCATTTTGACAAAATACAAAACAAATAAATTGAGGGAGATTTCATTAATTCTTATCAAAATTTCTTTTTTAAATCACACCTTAGCCAAGTCACAGGAAGCAATCAACTAATTATTGATAATCTTTTGACCTGGATGTGCAAAATGATTCCACCAATTCTCAAAGCCCCCAACTTTGTAACAGCTTAGACTGAAAATGCTAGCGATGTACCATGGAGGGATTAAAAAATGAAGTCACTGTTAAACAATCCAAAGAGAAAAAGAAAAAGATACTAGAGTTTTATTGATTCTGCATAATGTAATTGAATAATAAAAATCTAGATACAAAGAGATTATATATAGTATAAAATAAAGGAAACTTAAAAGGCTATTCTACCCTTAATAAATAATAAAAACAAAATAATCATATATTTCTTATCATCTCCCCTCAAACTCACGATGCA